TGGTTACACATCATAACAAAAAGCAAAAAAAGGCAAAGTATAAAAAATGTATTGGCAAAAATCAATCTAGCTGCCCAGCACCCAAAACACAAATGAACAGCCATCCAAAAAAGTTACTTTTTCCGCAGAAAGGCAGGAATGAAAACCTGAAAAAAAGAGAAAATCTCAATGAAAGTAACAGAGCTACTCCAACGTGCTGCCACCCTCAGCGGTGCAATTCCGGAATAAATAATAATAAAACATGTTCACACTCAAAAGTGCTTCAGTAATAAAGAAAGTAGCTTTATTCTTATATTACAAACAGAACAACTTATAATACAATAGTTATATACATCAAACCTGCCAACAACAGATGCACATTAAAACTATCATACAGTACTTTATATTTGGTCTCCCACATGTTTCTGGGAAAGGTGAGTGTTATTAATACAGATCCTTTCCATAAATAACAGAAATATTAAACACAAATATGAACAGCTGTGAAGTAGTGGAAGGAGATGTTTGATTTAGTTTTTCCTTTTGTTAAAGGTTAGTACAGTCTTCATGATAAATGACAGATGGACTTTCTTATTGAGCACTTAAAGTCCGTTTACACTGGTCACACAGAGAACGATCTGACATTTCAGTCCTCAGTGACTCTGAGCCACAGCAGCCCACTGTGTGTGTCTGTTCTGCCATAACTGTCAGAAAACACACAAATGTGACAAACGTTTGTATTTTCAACACTTCACTTGTTATCTTTGGTTTTAACTTACAAATGTCAGCGAGACAAAATAACTAGTCAACTTGTTCAAACCTGGAGTTAAAGGAGGGAGAGCTGAAGTAATATAATTAACATATACTGATTTGAACACTGTTAASTGGCATGTTAGCTCAGCTAGTTTGGTGCAAGTCAAAACATTGTGGAGAAAAGGTGTTGAGAGTATTTGTTTTTTTATTTTTTTACAAGTTTTTTTTATATTTGTATTGTTATATGATTTAACTAATTGTCTTTTCTTTGGCTGGTGAAGGGATCCTCTCCCTCCATGCTGCCTGGCTGAACTCACTTAAATATTTTACAGAAACTGACAGCAGCTGGATACAGAAAGGGACAACCAGGTGAAATTATGACCACAAGCTACCAGTTGACTCATATGTTTAAGATTAAATCTGTTCCATAAAATTCAATCAGATAAGATGATTACTGTAATTCTTTTTTTCTGGATGTCCCAAAAAAAAAACTCTTCAAGATTTTCAGTTGATTCAAARTGTTTGATCCAGAGTTGTGAGGAGAATTAGGTCTTGTCCACATAGGAACGTTTCACTTAGTACATTTTATTTGCTATTTGAACAAATGTCCCTGTAAACACAGCACTGTTATAGCTCTGCCAAGGTTGCATTGGTTTGTTTGTCCCTCTGTTCATCCGTACACAGGACATGTTGGGGTTGTCACCAAGAACAGCTGATGACATTTTGGCAGTGATGGGAAATGGTGGGTAGTGCCAAAAGAACAGAAGAAAAGAAATCAGGGGTATCAACACCATGGAAGAAGAAAGCAGAGGTTGTGGATGGGTTCAGTTGGGACTGGAGCACCATCATCATCATCATCATCATCATCATCATAATCATCATCATCATCATCATAAGATTTTTTTCTTCTCTTTGCAGTCTTTAATTTCATTTTATTTGTGATTTTGCTATACATGTATTTTTTCTCTAATTTTTCTTCTTTTTATTGTATATTGTATCTAAAATTATTTGTTTTGTTTTAATGAAATGAATAAAGAATTGAAACTGAATTTAGATCAGTGAGGGATATAATATAACTGAATAAACTCATTGGACAACTTGTCATGACACCCTACAAAGACAGTGAAGCTCTTGAATCAAAATAGTCTCAGGTTTGCTGCCACAAAGAAAACATTCCAATAGTTTGTAATTTCCCTTTTTGAAAGCTCGTTTATCAAACAACAGGACACCAGTGAAGTTTTATCTGCTGTCAAAATGATCAGTTGTACAGTAAACTCTGCCATCGCTGCTGTACTTCTGTTCTCACTGGTTACTGCTGGTTCTTTGTTATTTTCAGTGTTGGTTTAATCATGCTTTTAATTTAATCACTCTTAGAGACCAAGCTCCATTTGATCAGTTTTCCTAACAGAGCACTTCACTCTCAGACTGCAGGTTTACTTGTGGTTCCTGGAGTTTCTAAAAGTAGAATGGGAGGC